CGCCGCCACTACCAACACCGCTCTCTAGGTACCATTGCTGATTTGTCAAAAACTAACCTTTCAACTTCCTCCTCAATTGCACGACTGAGCCAACGTTGCTCGAGATCATCCATAGGAGTCATAATTACCCTTTGTTGGGTCTAGGATTCGTTTCCAAAAGCTGATGATGCACTCACTCCTCAAACAATTGGTGGAAAGAAAACCCTACGCGACAGAGCTGCTAGGGAGGAAAAAACTCTATGTGGCTGAGCCGCTAGGGAGATCCGAAGGAGTCGCTCCGCTTTCTTCCTAAATACTGCCATGTTAATGCTCAACATTGTAACTATTTTGACAGTAATGCAGTAAATACAGCCACATTACTCCTATTTCAGGAAGAAAAACATATTAGACATGTCTTGGAATTCCAAAACATATTCACTCATATTTCAGGAACTTTGCCCTAAATTATACTCCTTCCGTCCCACTCAACTTTGACATCTTTTTTTGTCCAAAAAATTTTGCTGATGTCCTTTACTCCTATTAAAACTTTGCCACTTTGAAAAATACTGTCATTATTAATGGCAATAAATACGCTCATGTCAATGCTTATTATTGTAACTACTTTGACACTAATGACAATTAATATTGTCATGTTACTCATATTTCAGGATGAAACACATAGCAAATCTATTTTGGAATTCCAAAACCTTTTTACTTCTATTTCGAGAACTTTGCCCTAAATTATACTCCCCCGTCCCACTCAACTTTGCCAACTTTTTTTTTGTTTTCCCCAAAAACTTTGTCATTTTCCTTTTAAAACCATGAATGTGCTTTAGTTTGTTTCTCTCACCTCCACACAAGTCTCAACCTCACAATTTTTATTTTCCTTATTTCTAATCTATTCCGATGTTGACAAAGTCCATGTGAACAGGGAATAGAGGTAACCTACCTTTTAGAATACATACACTAAAAATATCAATTAATTATGACGGAAATTATGCCAAAATAAGTAGTACCTCCACCCCGTTCAAAGGTTCTATTGTAAAATGACTTAGTTATTTAGTCAATAATTACATATGATAATTTGAGTACATTTTGAGAAATAATTTTGGTGATTATACTCCCTCCGGTTCACATTCTTCTTTACACTTACTATTCATTGGTCAACTCAAATCACTCTTAATCTTTTACTTTATATATCAAATTTTAATCGAAGTTAAATTTTCTTGATCAGACTTTGTAGCGGTTTTAATGTAGTTTCTGAATATGTAAATTTTATTTACTAAAAATAATCTGAGTATGAACAGGGATAGATTTGCTTTATCGTCAGTCAAGCCTTTTTTCCAAGTGTAAAGGAGAATAAGAACCAGAGGAAGTATAATACAATGGGCCATTGATGATAATTGTGATGTTATGTGCATTACTTTTAATACTTAACGATTAAATCGACATTTAGGAGTGTTAATTTTTTCTACAATAGAAATGAGAACCTTTTAAAGGGAATCAAATGTACTAAAAAGAAAAGTGATAACCAATGGGATGAAGGAGTATTCATATTGATTATATGGATCAATTAAGCTTGAATAACGGAATATACACGAAAATTGTACACATTTTATGCACACACTTCTAATTGTCTATGGACACAAACAACTCGTTCAGAAATTGCTGTATACACAGGCAACTATGAGCGTGTATACAAATTGTGTACAAATTCGTGTCCAAGTAGCACAGCCGAATCAAATAATCCATGTGTCCCACTCAAATTGCCCACTCTCAATTGAGTGTGAAATAAGAATAGTAAATACCTAAATACTTTGTAGTTGATATTTGTGCAGAGAAGATAGAAATAAAGAAAACCACAAAGTCATTAAACTAAAAGAAAAGTGATAAAGTTTTTTAGACAAATAAAAATAGAAAGTTAGCAAAGTCCAATGGAACGGGAGAGTATATCAGTTTCAGTTTGATTTATATCAATATTTATTTCGCTTTGAAACAGATTGGAAGAATGGCTACCAAATAAATATCATAATATTTCCGCTTGGTTCGGTCCAGGTTTGTTAAGTTAAGTTTGGATTTATCATTTTAAAAAAAAAATCCGTAGTTTAAGAAGAATTTATTGAATAATTTAGTACAATTAAGTTTTTTTTTTTCAATTTCCCGCAATTTCAGTTTGATTTCATTTACTACGGGTCGAAAGAAATACAATCAAATTACATACTAATATGATTTGGTTGCGCTAAATTTAATTCGATTTAATACGATTCTATTCGATAGAATCTAAACAATTTGTCCACTCTACGTCTCTACATACCTTTAAAGGACGTCACCTCATTTATCGGGGTTTTCATAACCGAGCAAACAATTATATGGAGTATAAGAGAATATAAATTGAGTTTTAATCACAGTTTGATAGAAAGAAACTATGATTTGGGGTTTAAACCCATGACTTCTTATCCACCCTTAAGGATGGCAATGGGGGCGGGGCCCGTGGGGTGGTGGGGTGGCGGAGTTATTTTCTCCCCGCTTAAATATGGGGCGGGTGATGGGTTATGCCCCCCCCCCCCCCGCACCGTTCCCGTCCCCCGTAATAATTAATAATAATAATTTCAATAATAATACTAATAATAATAGTAATGCTAATACGAAATAATTAAAATAGCCTGGTGGCCCGGTGGGTTTAGTGGTATCTAATGGATTGTGCCTAATGGGTCTATCTAATTCTTGTTTAATATCCAAGTTATCTTGTAAAATTGCCTATCAAAATCATAAAGTAAAATGATTTTTTAGGGATAAAGTAAAATGAATTTGGGAAAGTTATAAAGTGATATTAGCTTAAATGCCTCAGGCACGATTGAATGTTTTCTTCCTTTACCATTACAATGCATTAATTCTTTGGGATAAGGTTCAAATTGGACACTATGGTTTCATCAGAATCTCATATTGAACACTAATGTTTCAAATGGACCAAATTAGACATCATGGTTTCATATGTATCTTATATTGGACACTAAAGTTTCATAATTCAATATAAGTGAGTGTCCAATTTGATCTTTATCCAATATAAGTGAGTGTCCAAAAACTATGAATTATGAAACTTTAGTATCCAACATGAGATGCATATGAAACCATAATGTCTAATTTGATCCATTTGAAACCTTAGTGTCCAATATGAGATAATGATGAAACCATAGTGTCTAATTTGAGCCTTATCCTTTAATTCTTTTCTTTTGAATGTCATCTTTATGATTGTAGTTAGGACTCTTAAAATTTGGTGATTATATGTCGTCCTAGATGCCGTCAAATGACCATGATTGATTGAATGCAGGGTTTAAAAAGATATTACAGAGCTAATTAATGCTAATAAAGAGTTTGATAAAATGACTAAATTAAAACGCGTATAATGTGTTCTAGATTTGAAATGAGATGTAAGATTACATTGACACTTAAAAAGTAAAGGGAAAACTATCAAATAAGCCCTCGTACTATACCGAAAAAGTCGATTAGGCCCTCGTACTTTACAAACACTCAATTAAGTCCTCGAACTATTAAAAAACGTTCAGTTAAGCCCTTTCGGTCGGTAAGTAACCGGTTTCCCGGTTAAATGTAACCCGTTTCCCGGCAGCCACCGTTGTTGGGGTTCGAGCACATCATCGCTGTCGTCGCCGTTTAACCGGGAAACCGGTTACTTATCGACCAAAAGAGCTTAATTGAACGTTTTTTAATAGTTCGAGGACTTAATTAAGTGTTTGTAAAGTACGAGGGCGTAATCGACTTTTTCAGCATAGTACGAAGGCTTATTTGATAGTTTTCCCAAAAGTATAAGGTTTTTTGGCTACTAGAAGTGTTGTTTAATTTTTGAAAAATTGTCACTCAAATGATTTTTTAAAATTTTTGATGAGTACTTACCCCGTTGGGTACCCGTGAGTCTAGCGGGTCGGGGCGGGGATGGGGCGAGTCGAATAGTAGTGAGGGATGGGAGAGGGGTGGGGGCAATTTTTTAGACACGGGGCGGGGACGGGGGAGTGAACCCCCGCCCCAACCCCTCCCCATTGCCATCCCTATGACCACTAGGGGTGGGTTCGGTTCTTGCGGTTCGGTTTTGACTTAAAACCAAATGTAGAATCACAGTAAAAAGTTCGGTTCGGTTTCGGTTCGGTTTACACTCCAAAACTTGGAACCACGGTTTGATTGGTTCGGTTTGTTTCGGTTCGATTTCGGTTTTTTCGGTTTTTTACCCAAAAAAATTCCCTTGATTTAAAACTGATATAATACTTAGAGGGACCAAACATATAACATAAAAAATGCAAGCACAATACAACGACAAATAAAATAAAAATGAGAAGAGATAAATATGTATTGAATTATATGAATACGCGAGATAAATAAAACTATACGGAGTATATATTATTGATTTAATTTGTTTGTGATTAGTTCGAAAAAAGTTCATGAATATATACGTTATATGTGATATAGTTGAGATGAATATTTATTGTTTTATCAATATAAAATCTTTAAGTTATCTAAAAATAAAAGCTAATTACTACCAATAACTAGTAAGCACATATTATCATCATTCTACATTATTACAGACAATGAATGTGAATGAATTTATAAACTAAATTAAATTAAACATAACACAAACATTATTTCTCTAACACAAGAAAACCAAAGACTATTGATGATATTAAGATTAATTAGAATTAATGCTTAATTAACAATTAACATATAAATTTCATATTTTAAATAGTTCGGTTTGTTCGGTTCGGTTCGGTTTTGAAGGGTAAAAACCAAAACCGAACCAAACAACTTCGGTTCGGTTCGGTTTTTTACATTCGGTTTCGGTTTTTTAGCGGTTCGGTTTTATTTGGTTGGGGTTCGGTCTAATTCGATTCGGTTTTCGGTTTTCGGTTTTTCGGACCCAGCCCTAATGACCACCCTACCCAAATTGGCATCACAAAGACAAACCAAAGCACATTTCTTATCTCGCCAGGTCAGGAAGTCGAAAGCAGATAACATAGAATCTTTGAAGGGCAGTGTAGTCATTGACAAAAACCAAACCTATGGTTAATGCGATGAAGAAGGCTATGCCAGGGGCATGACTGTCATAAAACAACACAAAAGATTAGTTGAAAACTCTGCCCTCCATATATAAGCAGCAATTCTTTTTCCATCATCAAGGCGCTCGCGGCAATCTTTTGTGTGGAAGAAGTCGAAAGGGGGTGTCTTTTCTTCTTCTTTGTTTCTCTTCTCTGTAAGTTTGTAATTACGTATTCTGTCCAGACATTTTATCCCTTTCTGGATGTATGGCTCATAACTCATAAGGTGATTAAGGTCTGTGTGTGATATTTTGATTTAGATCTTTCTGGTGATTTAGGTTTATTGGATCTCTCTTCTCATTTTTATCGAGGAATACCATATCTCCATAAAGCTTCAAACTTCAATATTGTAAGTACGATTCCAGCTTCGCTTTTTTTTTTTTTTTTTTTTTTTTTTTTTTTTTTTGCGTACAGATTTGCTTGTATGATTCATCTCTGTTTGTTTGTTTCATGGGTTGGTGTTTGATCATTTCGTTTTATTCAATTTTAGGATTTTTCACAGGATTTTCTGCCAAATTATGCTTTTAGGGATCAGTTTCGATTCCTGAATCCTATGTGTAGAATTTACTTATATTTGAATTCAAATAATTTTCTCCAAAATGAATAGGAATGGGGTTTTTAAATTCTGAATTCGAGTTACTCTGAGTTCATAGTAAAAATTTAAATGATTCTTTTCCTTCTTCTTGAGTTGAACAATTAGACCTACTGTTATGTACTTGGTATTATTTATGTGATACACGGATTTGGATGGTGACCTACTGACCTACTGTTGACCTACATAGAGAATTCTATAATCTATATTTAATTCTTTATGTGAGCTACTGTTGAACAATTCTTTTGACCCGGTAACTCACCGGGTAGGAAGAGACCTCTGCAAGAGAGGTCTCGGGTTTAACTCCAAGCAATGACTTGGAATGAAGCCTCATTCACTTTCCATCAGTATGATCAAAGCTCAATTTACATCATAACCATCCAATAGGTTTTGGGGTCCTTTATTTCATCCTTATTTTTTGTACGAGAAGCACATATTTTGCTATATTTATTGATGATTATTATAAATTTTCAATTTACCTCTATCCATAAAATTGACAAAATTTACTATTTGTTAGTACAACTAGTAAAGTAAATCTATTAAGTTTATAGAGTTTTACCGAGAATTGATTTCAACAGAAGAAATTATTCAATACCTTCTTTTGAAGTGCTTACATATTGCTTATCAACTATGGTAAGTGTATTTAGGATTTGTTTCATTCTATTTGGTGGTGGGGTGGCGGCATTATATTAACATATTAGGCAACTGTACAGAATATTACTAATAATAAACCTTTTATTCTTAAATGTGGCCTAAGTTGTGTTCTCTATTCTCGCTGGAATTCGGTGTGATAGTCACTAGCGACAAACACCACCAGATAGTATGTATTTTGAAATTTGAACACTGAAAGTCTGAAATTACAAATAACAGAAGGAACGTAAGATGAAAGCACAGGTTGAGACCAATTCGAGAGGGTCTCTCTCTGCCACCAAGTTCTGTCCAAGTCCAAAACTGCCGTCCACTTTCTCTTCGGTTACTCTTTATTCTCCTTCCGCCATCCTGGTCCCTTATTCTTCATTAGTTATGTCTCTACGTTCTTCTTCCACCCCCATATTCCCACGTTCTTTTTCTGCCCCCATATGACCCCTTTTACCCTTACAGGTATATACCTTAGAAAAATCCCTATTGGGATTAATTTGGTACTTATCTGAGCTCGTATCATGCTGCTTGTTGGTTCCTCTTTTGATATCATTGCTAAACTAATATATTTAAATTTAAATAAACATTGGCAGGTAAGACTGTATGATATAATGGAGTCCAAAGGTGGAAAGAAGTCTAGTAGTAGTAGTAGTAAGACAGTGTTCTATGAAGCCCCTCTTGGTTATAGCATTGAAGACGTTCGACCAAACGGTGGAATCAAGAAGTTCAGATCAGCTGCTTATTCCAACGTAAGTTCCCCTCCCCCTCAACAACCCTTGTTTTTAGTTTTTTCTTTTGATATCACTATTAATTGTTTTACATTATTATCTCTTCACTGCAGTGCGCCCGGAAACCATCCTGATATTTCTTCACTAGTGTTCTGATCACGTCTTGAGGCGTGCTGCTACTAAAACTATTAACTGTTCTATTACCTATTATATTTTCTCTGTCCCTTTTAAGTAAAACTAAAACCCACATTTCCATTCTCCTTTCTCTTTCTGTCGCCTTCTCTTACCCCCTTTTTAGCAAATCTGTCTTTATTGAACCTCTTTCTGGCTTAAAAAGATCCATTTTTAGAAATGGCCATGTCTGTCTCTGCAATTGGTTTTGAAGGATATGAGAAGAGGCTTGAGATTTCATTTTTCACGCATCCTGAAGGAAAAGGCCTTAGATCCCTTTCCAAATCCCAGCTAGACGAGTTCCTTGGACCCGCTGAGTGCACAATAGTTTCTTCACTGTCAAACGAGTTTGTAGACTCTTACGTCCTGTCGGAGTCGAGCCTTTTCATTTATCCCGACAAGATAATCATCAAAACCTGTGGGACCACCAAATTGCTCCTAGCGATCCCGCCTATCCTGAAGTTGGCGGGGTCACTCTCTCTTGAAGTACAATATGTGAGGTACTCCCGTGGCAGCTTCATCTTCCCGGAAGCTCAGTCATACCCTCACCGTTTCTTCTCAGAAGAAGTTGCCATTCTGGAAGGCTTTTTCGGAAACCTCAGCTCGGGAAGTAAGGCTTACATCATGGGAGGCTCCAACAAGCCACAGAAGTGGCACGTTTACCATGCTTCGGCTTCTTCTTCTCCCACTTCCAAGTCCAAGAGCAGCCACCCTGTTTACACCCTGGAAATGTGCATGACCGGTTTGGACAGAAAAAAGGCTTCTGTGTTTTATAAACACGATGCCAGCTCAGCAGCGAGGATGACCGTTGAATCTGGAATCCGGAAGATCCTACCTCAGTCCAATATATGTGACTTTGAGTTTGACCCTTGTGGATACTCCATGAATTCTATTGAAGGAACTGCCCACTCCACAATCCACGTCACTCCGGAAGATGGATTTAGCTATGCTAGCTTTGAAGCTTCGGGATATGACCTCAAAGCTATGAATCTCACAGCTTTGGTTAAAAGGGTTTTGGCATGTTTCATGCCCAGAGAGTTTTCTATAGCCATTTATGCTGATGCTCTTCCCGGCAAGGTGCTCGAAACAGTTTGTTCGGTGGACTTGAATGGTTACTTTCTTGGTGAGAGATGCAATGGAGAGTTCGGAAGTGGTAGTTCCATTGTCTACCAGAAGTTTGTTAGGGATTATGCTTACCGTTCATCCAGGCCTGTGTTGAAAGGATGCTCCTTGTAAACGAAGTAAGCTGAAGAAGAAGAAGAGGTGGAGTTATACCTTGGTTGTTTTTCGTGGTACTCTTTTATGTTGTCTTTGTTTATAATATTATTTTCTACTTGAACAGAGTCTTGTTTATCGTTTGTTTACACTCTGGCTTCTATATTTGTTTTGTTTGTTCAAACCCATGGGCCTAGCCTGTCAATGGATCATGGGCTTGTATACCTGTTCTGGGCTTGTTGTTGTGACTGAGCAAATCAAAAGTTTCCCGTGATGTTGACTGTTACTTTGATTTGATGAGCTGATGTGTAATTATTTATACATTTACCTCAGTGGACAACGTTTAAAAAAATGAGTATTGATATTAAATTATAAAATTAGTACAATTAATATTTTGATGGTAATCAAATCACATGTTTCCAATAGTTAATTGTGCTACCAATATTGTGATTTAATATCAATACTTATTTTAAATGTTTATTCATTTAAAAGGCATGATTAGGGGTTACCAAGTAATACCAATTAATACTTATTTCTTTTAAATGTTTACTCATTTTTTTAAACACAAAAACATCCGGTCGTATAGTGATTAGGGGTTTTGCCTTGAATATTACTAATAAAAAGGCAATTGACAAAAAATGACCTTTTTTTAAAGTTCCAGAAATGTGACTCATAAGTGAGAAACTTACTTATATACCTACTGTTACACTGACACGTTACAGTGACACGAGACACAGTGACATCCACCACCCCTTCCCACCGCCTCCCACCGGTGATCGCCGTCGCCAGAGACTGTCGCCAACCATAGTGACAACGATCATAGTGGCACGACAGTGACACTGTCACTGCCCAGTGACACCGATTTTCAGTGACGTCACCCGCCAAAAGTTACTTCGGCTGCAACCACCGTCCTGTCACTATGACCGTCGAAAAATTTTCCGGGGACATTAAATTTTTCGGTGACACCATCCGTCGGAAGTTACTCGATCCGGCCACCACCACCTGGGTAATGTCCTTCCTCAAACTTCCAACACCCCTTCCAAGCTGAGCCGCTGCATAATTTGTTATTCTGCCCTCATGGCCCAACCGTAGAATCCTAGCCGTCAGATCCCGTCACCACACCTCGGTCGTCAGATCCGGCCACCACACCTCGGCCGTCAGCCGCTAAATACCATTGCCGCAACCATGACCCCCGCCCTCCCTCAGAGTCTCAGACCCTAGCTAGGTGGTACTAGATCTTACCACCTACCGCCACCGCTGACACGAGACAGAAGGAGATGAATAAGAAGGTTAGTGACGGACTTGCAATGGCGGCGGGCGGCGGGCGGTGGACTTGCAATGGCAGCGAGCGACGAGGTGTTAACCTGTTGTGGTGGTGCGCGATGAAGGTGTGGCGATGGCCATTGTCTGAGCGGAGCTTGAGTACGGAGGACGAAGCTTGAAGATGCATTTTTCGGAAAACTTTTTCGCATCTAACGTCTTCAATAGGCAGCTGTTGCACATAATCCACCTGCCATGGAGAAGCTCTTCACCTCAGAGAAGTTATTCCATGGTCGGTAACATAATTGACCAGAGATTCAGAACTCACTACACTAAATCCACTTGCAGCAAAGGGTGTTTTTAACTTGTGCACAGGATGTCAATAAGCCCAACTTGGGATTCACCCCCCGAAATCAACAGAAATGAAGATATAAATGTATTACAATAGCTATTGGAGCAACTTCTAGATTTTGATTTATAGCTTCAAATTGGAACGGATAAAGGACTGTTAATGTTCTCATGGTCTGTCAAAAGAAACATTAGTTGATGCATAAATCTAACTCAAATAAGTGATTTTTGTGTTAATTTGGTCCACTTAAAAGTTTAGGGCATGTTTACTAACAGAGATATTTTTCAAATTTCTATTTCCGTTTTCCGTTCTCTAATTTTCTGTTTTCATTTTTCAGTTTTACTATCCTCAATTTTTTTTTTCATTTTTTAGTTTTCCATTTTCCAATCTGAAAATATGTTCATCAAATGTTTTCACCCGGTTGGGATTGACTAGAAGACCGAAAGTACAGTCTCATTCTGAAATCAAACCTAGTACAAACCAAGTAGGGTACCAGGTCTCACGTATAGGAAAGTCGGGATCTTAAATTAGATAGGGACCGCCGAATCGTTGACCATACTAAATCAGGTACCACCTGGTCGTGGATCGAACCGGACTGAGGCCGCGAGGTCATGGACCGGATCAGACAGGGACCGTCGGGTCGTAAACCGGACCGGACAGAGACCGCCGAGTCACCGACCGGACAGGGACCGTCGGTTCATCGATCGGACAAGGCCCGGATTGCTCAGCCGTCGACCAGACCGAACAGGGATCGCCAGGTCAATGACCGAACTGGATCGTCGGGTCGTTGACCGAACCAAATAGGCACCGTAGGATCGTTGACCAGACTGGAATTGACACCGGAGCAGGACCGGGTCCACCACTAGACATAAGTATGCAAATTTATTGCAGCGGCACGTCAACATTTGCAGTTTTCAAATTTGGAAAACTAATAAAAGTCACTTCTCCAATTTATTAAGGAAAATAGAGACATATCTCATTTTTTTGTTTTGAAAAATGATTTGGTAAACACATTTTTCTGTTTTCTTTTCTCCACTTTTCTAGCAGTTTTCTTTGGTAAACACGTTTTGTGTTGTTTTTTTTCCAGTTTTCCAGTTTCCTGAAAAACTGGAAAATATCTCTTTTAGTAAACAGACCGTTGGTGTCTGATGCGAACTTTATAAGTAACCTTGGTGTATTTTTTTTAGCCTTCTCCCTCGAAAGAAGGCTCAAAAGGTTGTTTATGGTTGCAATCTTAGACATTCTTTACTTCGGCAGTGGTCGGACAACTGTTGTTGAAACTTAAGGTAAGCCAGATAAGCAAATTAAATCGGGTCTTCCAAACGAGACTCATTAGTTCACGATTACTGAAATCTCCTTCGCGACCTTGAATTCAACATGTTACATATTTTGGAAAGTTATGTGAGGGGCGTTTTTAAAAGTTTTTCGCCTCTAACGTCTTCAACAGGCAGCAGTTTCACGTAATCCACCCGACATGGAGAAGCTCTTTGCCTCGGAGAAGTTATTCCATGGGCGGTATCATATTTGACCAGAGCTTCAAAACCCATGCCCACACTTCACCAAATCCACATGCAGCAAATGGTGTTTTTAACCTGTGCACGAGATGTCAATGAACCCAGTTTGGGATTCACCCCTGAAACGAATGGTCATTAAGGGTTTGCAAACTCTGAAATCAACAGAAATGGAGATATGAATGGATTAAAATAGCTATTGGAGCAACTTCTGGGTTTTGATTTGTAGCTTCAAATTGGAACAAATAAAGGACTGCTAATGTTCAGATGGTCTGTCAAAAGAAACGTTAGTTGGTGGCTAAATGTAACTCAAATAAGTGATTTATGTGTTAAATTGGACCACTTAAAAATTTAATGTCTGATCCGACTTTTGTAAGCAACCTTAGTGTAGTTTTTGAGCCTTCTCCCTATATTGTATAACCATTTGCATCATTTAAGGAATTGAATATTAATGACCGTAAATTTATTGTTAGTGGTAATTGTTAAAAAATTTAATAAGAGAGTGACATGTCAACCTTTCATATCTCAATTCCATAAATCCTCTTCCAAATGTAATTTTACACGGGGATTAAGAAAGTGAGAATTGTGCAGTGTATAGTTGTGTAGAGGCCAGAGAGATAAATATGTAAAAATGGTGTAAATCATAATTTTTTGCCAAAAGAGAAAAAGGAGGTTATTTTGGGACAAACGAAAATGGAAAGTTGAAAAATAATTCAGTGCAGAGACCGGGGAGTCTATAAAACAATACATGTTTGCAAAAACTTCAAAAAGTGTCTTTTCAACTATTCATTTAGAAAAGTTAAAATGATTGTTTTCAAGTATCATCTTCTACTTAACTAAGTAAGTACTTAAAAGTTGAAAACTGGAAACTAGTGAAAGGTGTTTTAAAGTGTTATCACTTTTCTACTACATAAAAATCATTATTTTTATCGAGCACCATCAAATTGTACTTTCTCAAAAAAACACTTTTCTCAAGCACCATCAAATTTTACTATTGATAACATTTTCTAAAATTACTTGATAGAATCACTTTTTTAAAGTATAAGTAATCACTATATGCCCTTGATATTCCATAATTTGTGTGTCCAACCTACATGTTACAAGTAATTCGTGTAAATAGTCTTGATTTCCATGTATGTGTTAACGCAACTTGATTTTGATCCTTGATTACACATATATTGAACTTCACCATATAATTTTTAATTATGAAAAAGTATATATTAGGAAAGAGTTAATTTTATCGTCTAGTACCATAGAATGAAATGAGAACTTCATTTTAGAATGAAGAGGTTAAAAATAGGTAGACTTGTGCATTAATATACTGTGGTAGCAGCAACACTTTGTTTGAATGTCATCCACTTTTTTAATTTATGTTAGTTAGGACCTCAATTTAAAGCGAAGTCATCTTAGACATATACTCTGTTGCTCTTTTAATCAAAACTCAAGATCAACACAGTGTTGTTTTGGATTAAATTTCATATAGTGATGTTTTTTCTGCTTTGATGTAATAATGTATTGTTCCAGGCAACTTCTTTTCCAAATTTTATCTAATTATTAAAAGTATGTAAGAACTAATATTCTCTCCATAGTCCATCTCATACTAAAGACTCTGCAGTCTGCACCTGTTTTGAACATATGGCCTAAAGTTGTGCACATGAGAGATGGAAAGAAAAATATTGTGAACAATTAATTCTTTGATGGAAAAAAAATGGTCGTAGCACTATTTTTTGAGTTGGACTTGGGGTACACAATTTTTGGTGTACACATTTTTACACTGTCTGTGTAGGTTTTTTTTGTCTGTACATACAAAGCATATTTTGAAAAAAGTGTGTACCAAGAGTATTTTTGGTGTATTTTGACAAAATACGTTTCGTCTGTACAGACAAAAAAAGCCTACACAGACAATCTGTAAAAGTGTGTACCCCGAGAGTATTTTTGCTACTCCCTCCGTCCCATATTTATCTTCGTAGTTCGGTTTACGATGCTTGACTGACGATAAAACAGCTTAATTCCTGTTCACACTCGAATTATTTTTAGTAAATAAAATTTACATATTCAGAAACTACATTAAAACCGCTACAATGCCTAATCAAGAAAATTTTAATTTGATAAAAATTCGATATATAAAGTAAAAGATTAAGAGTAAATGTGAAGATAATTGTGGGACGCCTTCGCACTATAGGTCCTCTATTGGCCTAGCTAGATGCCTAGATCGATGACAAACGCACACATTCAAGCAGTCATGCAAGCACAATGCTCCGGGTTCTTCTTTATGCTTGATTTGGATGAAGAGTCACGCTTACGGAATGTATTTTGGGCGGACAATCGATGTCGATATGCTTACAAAGATTTTGGTGATGTTATTACTTTTGACACGACATATCTTACCAATCGTTATGACATGCCATTCGCGCCATTTGTAGGAGTGAATCACCACGGACAATCAATCTTGCTTGGTTGTGGCCTCATCTCGAGTGAAGATACGCAAACGTTTGTGTGGCTTTTTAGAGCTTGGCTTGAGTGTATGGACGGTATTGCCCCTCACGGAATTATTACCGACCAAGATCGTGCTATGCAAAATGCCATCCAACTAGTGTTTCCAAATACACAACACCGATGGTGTTTATGGCACATAATGAAGAAGCTTCCGGAGAAGTTGGGTGGGTTTACCCATAAAGATGAAATTATGGCCGGTATACATGATGCAGTATATGACTCTCAATTCCCTGTTGACTTTGAAGTTGGTTGGAATTCACATTTGGAAAGGTGATAGACATTAGTAATCTGGGACAGAATGCTTATTTGTCAAACTGACAGACAACATTTGTCTGTGCCAGACATCAATAGTCTGGGACATAATGCTTGTATGTCAAACTGACAGACATAATTTGTCTGTGCCAGACAATAGTAGTCTGAGACATAATGCTTGTATGTCAAACTGACAGACAAAATTTGTCTGTGCCAGACATTAGTAGTCTGGGACATAATGCTTATATGTCAAACTGCCAGACAAAATTTGTCTGTGCCAGACATTAGTAGTCTGGGACATAATGCTTATATGTCAAACTGCCAGACAAAATTTGTCTGTGCCAGACATTAGTAGTCTGGGACATAATGCTTATATGTCAAACTGCCAGACAAAATTTGTCTGTGCCAGACATTAGTAGTCTGGGACATAATGCTTATATGTCAAACTGCCAGACAAAATTTGTCTGTGCCAGACATTAGTAGTCTGGGACATAATGCTTGTATGTCAAGCTGACAGACAAAATTTGTCTGTGCCAGACATTAGTAGTCTGGGACATAATGCTTGTGTATATCAAACTGACAGACAAAATTTGTCTGTGACAGACATTAGTAGTCTGGGACATAATGCTTGTGTATGTCCAACTGACAGAAAAAATTTGTCTGTGCTAGACATATTGGTTGTAACTAATGAGTTGTGTATTCATTATAGGTATTCACTTCAAGATGATGAATGGCTTAAGGTCATGTTTGAAGAACGCCAAAGGTGGGTACCTTGTTACTTGAAAACTTCATTCTGGGCAGGTATGTCCACAACTCAACGAAGTGAGAGCATCAACGCTTTCTTCGACCTTTTTGTGCATTCTAAAACAAGTCTAAAACAATTCGTGGAGCAATATGGTTGTGCCTTAAAATTTAAGGCTGAAAAAGAGTTTCAAGCGGACGCTGAGTCATTTTCAAAATTGGTACCGTGTGTTTCGAAATTTCCTATGGAGAAACAAATGCAAGGTATATACACAATGGCGAAGTTCAAGGAGTTTCGAGATGAAGTGGTTGGCAAGCTTTATTGTGACATCATTCAATGGGATGGCGGTAAAATTTATCATGTCAAAGAAGAAGTTAAAATAACAGAGGACTTTTACAAGACTGTTTACTTCATAGTGGAATATGATTCTGGCTTGTGTGAATGCAAATGTAGTTGTCATTTGTTTGAATTTAGAGGCATTGTGTGTAGACATATGTTTATGGTTCTACAGCGCAACGATGTTAAAATCTTGCCTGAGGTGTACATCATGCGGAGATGGAGGCAAGATGTAAAGCGCCCTTACACACGAGTGAAAATAAACTATGATGGGTGGATCACAACAGTGCAGCAACAACGGTATGACAAGTTGTGTAAGACTTTTGAAGATCTTGCAAATGCCATTGCCGATGATGAGGAAAAGTATAAAAGCGTTATGCAATGGATGCAAGACCAATTGCATAAGTGTGCCGGGTCAACTACAACTTATTCCGTTTGTGGTGTTATGACACAACTTCCACAATTACATACAAATGTGCATGGGGAGGCGCCGGGTCCAATTCAAGATCCGAAGATCACAAAAAGGAAGGGTGCACCGAGGAAAAACCGCATAAAAGGCCCTCTTGAAAAATCAAAGAAGAATCAAAATGTTTAATGCAATTACATATACATTTTATTATTGTGTTTTAGGTTTGGTCTTTTAATTTATTAACTATAGTTTTTAATGAAATTTTCAGGCGGATCCAAAACCAAATAAATCAAGGAAGAACCCTAGTGGAATGCACACAAGTGACATTGCCTCAAATCAAATTTATGATTTTAGTGTATTAACACCCTGTGTCAATGATAAGGGGTTGGATTTGAATCTACGCTTATTATGAATGACCGTTGTATGTAGTTAAGAATGAATTTTTAGTTGGAATTTGAAATGACTTGTCATTGAAACTTCCTCGTTTGTGATTTCATTGGTTTGTAGTTGGAATTTGTAGTTCGAATGAAACTTCTGAGACAGACAAAAAATGAATACTCTGCCAGACATATTCACATAACGAGACAGACAAAATTCAATAACCTGCCAGACATATTCACATACCGAGACAGACAAAAACGAATACCCTGCCAGACATATTCACATACTGAGACAGACAAAAAACGAAACTTAATTGCATTTGCTGAAATTATCGTCATGTAACCGCTTTTTCTCAAATGCCACCTTTGTATAGTTTGCAACTTATACAAAAATAAAAACATAAAGTTCCACACACATCGTACAGGGAAATTCATAGTGTTTGCAAAGCTGGACTATTAACCGGCAAAAATAGGCTTCCCAAGCTAATGAAGAATTCCTATGATTCCTCAACCTTCTTCAATCCCCACAATCGAACAGCATATTGACATCTCTTGTTCCACATGTTGGCATACTCACAACCTGGAAGCAAGTCCTTTCCCATTAAAAGATGCTCTGCAAACGCTGCAATCATCACTCCGCACTCTCCTGACCTGTACACAGACAATTAAAAATAAGACAGACATTTACCATAAGGTGATAGACAATATATGTAATGTAAATAAAGTTTAATATAATACCCTCCACCCTGTTGGGGAACACCCTCAACTAACTCAGCAACCCTGTTGGGGAATACCCTCCATTTCCATGACCTTATTCTTAGAACCAATCTGCACAAGCATTGTATTAACACAACACTCCCAATGAAAGAATCAGAAAGAATTTTATGGCATCAAATATTATTTACCTCAGTCGCCTTCTCTGTCACGCTACCCTGTGCACTGAATCTCTCTTCCATCAACTTCAACCTGCTTTCCAAAGCAGCCACATGCTCCCGGAGTGCTTGCATCTCATCCATGACTTTGTCTTTGAAACCCTTGTCCCGAACTTCTTCATCCTCGTTATCATTCTCAGAATCATGTTCCTCCTATACAGGAATCTTAAAGACTAAAATAAGATGTTATTTGAATGCAAAAATCAACAAATTCAGATATAATACATCATCATTGTCCTTGAACACCAATTCATTCAACTTGCGTGCGTGAAAGAATCCATCGGCCTTCCAGTTTAGCATAGGAATTTCTTCATTACCAATACGTTCAGCACAGTGTTCTCCTAGGTTAGGCACGTTTTCATACGCCCAAACCTAAAAAAAATTATAAAATTAATATGTCTGTCTGCCAAAAGTTTACACACACAAATGTCTGTGTGCACATAGAAATGTCTGTCTCAACATTAAACTACAAAGAATGAGAAAAATACCTGTAGTATAAAAGGACATCCATATAGAGTAAACTTAGCAGTTGTGGCCTTGCTTTGCCTGAACCTGGTGGGCTGCTCTTTCATGATACTTTTGAAGTTGTCAATCATGGTGTTATAGGACTCCCTACCCCATGGATACATCTTAAACTTCTCGAACTCGTCTGCCCACTTCAAATACACCAAATTTATCTTGGTTTTATTATCCCGAGCAAGTAAAACCGTCAAAATGTAACACATGGACAGTAGCTTCACAGAATCTCCACTCTTTGTACGCCTAAATGACTTCAACTTGTCCTTCAACATTTTGTACGTAATGTTCGTGGATCCACGAAAGTACTTGTCAATTAGCGTCCCATGCACTTCATCATCATCATTGAAGACAGGATTTTCGGCTGATGATTTCAGACCGGATATGCGACAGAAATCAGCATACGTAAACTTCAATAGCCTCCCTTGAATCAAGAACCACAGCTCGTCTGCAGGTTGGTCCTTCACTAGCCTCAGCAGTAGAGCATGGATAATTTGGCCTGAAAATTGTATGTCTGGCACGGACAGTAGGTGGCCCCATGGCAAATTCCTAAATTCTTGCAATTGATCCTTTGTCAGCGCACCTTTTACCAAGCTTACAGCCTCTCTGAAATATGAGCACACAGATAACTGTGCTGGAAAGTGCTTGCGAACTGGAATTTGTACTTCAAATGACCTGTATAATTAACACAAATACAAATCAAACATTTCAGACAACTCAGAAAGAAGGACAGACATTGTATATCACTTGACAGACAAGTGTGTTCACAGGACAGACAACTACACAACAATATAAACAATTTCATATCACATGCACAACAAGTCTATGTCGAAATGAGGAGCCAGACAATTTTAATGGTTTGCCAGACAACTATGTCTGTCCTTAGTAAGAAGGTTATATGGTTGAACATATTAATGCATAAATTTGTGTTGAGTATTTTGTAGGAAGGTTATATGGTTGAACAAATTAATGTCTAAATTTGTTAGACATTAATGCAAGAAAAACTGATAAGTAAAAGAAGGTCATCTGGTAAAAAGGATATTTTACACTTGGAGTTCATACTTTAAACCAGAAAGCTTATAAATCAACTTTCATATTTCAGAAAGCTGAAAGCAGAGCAAAGAGTATGCTTTGACAGTTTGACATATAACTTAGTGTATAGACCATTCATAACTCAAAAATAACATTCAAAGCTCATACATTATAAAGCATTCTTAGCTTACAAAATTTACATTTAAAACATCTCATTAAGCAAACTTGCCAGACATCTGAAATGCTGCATTGGTTACATCCCAAATCACAAACTACATCTACATAGAATACTACAATAGTACAATGGCTTGCCAGACAATCCATTTCCAATGACAGACATCTCATACACCTGGCCAGACCACTATAATGACATTACAGACAATTTTCAAGAATTCAAAATTAACTGACACACACAACCAAATAACCATGCACAGACAAGTTCAAAGTGGTCAAACAAACACAATGACAAACAACACCAAAATTACACACCAAGAAAATATCAATCCAAAAAAATTGAAAAACATTACATACCTTTCAGCCATATGTGTTAAGCTTGGATGAAGTTGGACCTTAGAACCTTCAGGAGGGCAGTTCGTTCAACGGTGAACAGTTCAGGAGGTTTCCAGTTGACGGCGATGAGGTTTCCGGTTGACGGCGGTTGACGGCGGCTCCTCGCGCTTGACAGCTGTTGTGGCGGACGATTTGTGGGGCAGAGGACGGCGTTTGTGGCAGACGACTCTGGAGTTGACGGTGGGGAGGCTTGAGGTCGGTGACGGTGGGGAGGTTTGAGGTCGGTGACGGTAGGGAGGCTGGAGGTCGGTGATGGTGGGGAGGGGAGTTTTTCGAAACTGTCTGGGGAAGGGAAAAAGTGGGGGGCGGGAGATTTGGTGAGGAGAAGGGAAAAAGGTGGGGGGGCCGCACGTGAGGGAATGGGGAGGGGGGTAAATTTTTTTTTGGAATGGTTTTTATATGGGGTATAAAATGGGGTATATTTGAGGTACTCCTAGCATTTTTGAGTTAAAAAATGGGAAGGACAATGTGGGGGTTGGCAGTCCAATTGGATTGGACGCTTTTACATGCTATGTTACGTTCTCTCTTTGAATGGGCAAATTAAAAGCCAAGATCATGACTGTGACTTTGTACAACCTTTCAATAATGTATTCTCATGTGAGGGTGAACTTTAGTTTGGTGCTTCAGTAGATACATGCCCTTGAGGCTCTTCACCTCATTAACGTGATTATTTTGAAGCACAATAAACCAAAAAGCATTTCTCATGCCTTGAGTATAGTGTTGTAAATGAGTTTTTTTTTTTTAGTTTGAAGCCATCCAAAATTACGAGATTGATGAGAACAGAGTCAACATTCTACTTAAAATTAAATATAGATCAACGGAGCAACAGTGATAAGACAATTTTGTTATACTTAAAAGGTCAAAGAGTAACCCTAAAGACGTGTTTAGTTAAGATTCAGAATTCCATCCTAAAAGTTGAAGTAGCCGATGCATTACATAATGTTTTATTGTTTTATAGTTTTCCGGTGTGCGACAAATATTTTAGCACGCCCCCTCAATTTGAATCGAGCTGGACAATATTTGAGCGTATAAATGGATCAAACAGACCTTTAATAAGGTATGTATAATCATTGTTAAACAAGCGGTCACACTACAATCCTGGCTCTATTACAAAGAAATGAGAATGAAACATTCTACACGGGCAACACAGTCTTGTTTTGGATCTACGCGAGAAACGAGTAAAGTAATGTGCGAGCAAGGGTAAATTCGTGTAAATAGATTCATAGATTCTACTAAAAAACAGCAAATTTCCAATCACCACACATCAGATGGAATGTCTGGTTCCCGGATAGATAAGCAAGCACGAATTCAAAAGCAATCCCAACACAATGTGTGCTATTCAATGACTCAATTAAATACTCGTACGTAGTAATTAAATTAAGAGTCGTTTGGTGACTGTTTTTTTATTTATAATCCCCAACCTTTTCATCACATTCGTTAATTTTAATTTTGCCAACCAAATTGAGTATAATCAAAATAATTAAGATTAATTTCTTTTTATTGAATTGAGTGAAGTACTATAGAGGACTATTACAATTATTTTCTCATATATTTTTCTTTATTTTATTAATAAAATTTATCCAAAACATAATTTTTTCATAATTAAGCAGATTCAACAAATTCAGATGCTTCGGTCTGAATTTCATCAGTTCTGTAGATTAACCCAATACTAACATGATCCAATAGAGTCTAAATGTTTTATTTATCAATTGAGATTAAGTCAATGTAATCACATTTGGCCAAGTTCATCCTATTATTGGTACAAAATATTACCGAAATACACATGATCAAGATCATAATACTTAAGAGGTCATATTTTGTAAATAACTTTTAATTTAGTCATAAATATATAATGATTCCATAACTTAAATAATTAAATATATTTAATGGGATATGAAACATGGGGTAGTAATTCTAAAGAAAAGTGAAAACAATTATGGAGTGATATAGTTGTATAATTTAATATAGCACTTTACTGCTTCTTAATTTATTGGTGTAGGATGTCAACACCCCTTTTCACGAACAAATGCTTCGTTTAGATCGTGTCATCATTCATTTTGTATGGATTCTATAACCATGTAGTCATTTTTCATATGTGGCTTACAAGTCACACCATGGTTATGAATTGAAAGAATAGTCCGATACTATATTAAGATTCAGAGTTTCATTATAAAAGTTGATAAAATGAGGATGTTTTTACTGGGATTGTTTTAAGTTCCAGATCAGATTAGACCAGATCAGATTAAACTTGAACAGTTATAAAACATACATATTCCAGCAATAATCAAGTATAGCGATATGACCCCCTTAATTGACGCAAGAATTTTTTTATTTTCTTTTTTCTGAACATGATTCACTCGCAATTTACCTGAAGGAATTTTTTCGGTGGTCATTCAACTAATACTGTTTTGGCACGACAAGTTTCAAACATGTCGCATTTAAATTACTCAATTAAGTTCGGAAACATGTCGGTTTTAGTCTACTCGACCCCTAGATTAAGAGTGAGATATTTATTTATTTATTTATTGAATTATTATTATTATTATTATTATTGCTATTTTTATATAAAGATTATTATTGTTATTACTATCTCCGTCCCATATTGGTTGTCTACTTTTAATTTGGCACGATTATTAATAAAGTAGTTGAAAAGTAAAAGTTGTGTTTGAGATTTGAGTAGAATAAAGTGAAATGATAAGAACCACATATTTCTTGCCAAAAAAGGAAACAAGACATTCATTTTGGGACAACTGAAAAAGGAAAGTAGGACAACCAAAATGGGGTGGAGGAAGTATTATTTATATTAATTTTGATCACATTTTTAGTCAAATTGCATGTGATATCTGCAAAACGGGGAATAATAGGTAGTACTCTCTCCGTCCCGCTTATACTGTCTCATTTTACCGTTTTGGAAAATCCCACTAAAATTGTTTCATACCTTATTTTATAAAGTTTGTATGCCTCTAAATCATTTTTACTTTATTTTTACTTTATCAATTAATATCAAATACACAATCCCATTTTTCTTAATAATCATGCCACCCCCTTTCGTCCTCATATAAGAAGGACGGAGGTAGCTTTAAGGAGTGTTTGTGTTTGCTTAAAAAAAGCGTTTTTCAACTTTTGACTTAAAAAAAGTTGAAAAGAGTGTTTTCAAATGACAGCTTCTGCTTAAATTAATCACTTAAAAGCTAAAAGCTGGAAGCAGGTAGAAGGGTGCTTTAAAATGCTTCTCACTTTTTCTATTATACAAAAAGTACTTATTTTACCAAACACTACCAACTTTTACTTTTCCAGAATCACTTTTTTCTCAAACACTACCAACTTTTACTATTAATCACTTTTCCCAAAATCACTTTAAAAAATCATTGTTTTTAAAGTTGAAGCAATTGCAAACACTCCCTTAGTATCACATATTCACAGACAATTCTTTTTTAGGGAAAATGGAAACTAATAATCCAACCTTTTAGAAGTCTTCTTACAATAGTCCCCCACCTTTTTGTTATTCAAGAATAATCCAACCTTTGCACATCATCTTCATTCGATGGTCCCTGACCGGTTAATGACCTACTATTCCAAATTATTTTCTTATCTTTGCAAAATATTATCTTTGTGAAAGGTGAGATTTATGGTATAATGGTTTGCAAAGATAAGAAAATAACTTGGAATAACAGACCATTAGCCGGTCAGAGACTAGTGAATGAAGATGAGGTACAAATGTTGAATTATTCATGAATAACAAAAAATAGGACTATTGTAAAAAGACCGCTAAAAAGTTGAATTATTAGGGAGTGTTTGCAATTGCTTCAACTTTTTTAAAGTGATTTTGGGAAAGTGATTAATAGTAAAAGTTGGTAGTGTTTGAGAAAAAAGTGATTCTGAAAAAGTAAAAGTTGGTAGTGTTTGGTAAAATAAATACTTTTTGTGTAATAGAAAAAGTGAGAATCAGTTTAAAGCACCATTCTACCTGCTTCCAACTTTTAGCTTTTAAATGATTAATTTAAAATTTGAAAACACTCTTTTCAACTTTTTTTTAAGCCAAAATTTGAAAAACGTTTTTTTTAAACAACCCCAAACACTCCTTTAGTTTCCATTTTTCCTTCTTTTTTTAATCGATATCATAAGTAATTTGTCTTAAAAATTGACTAAATGAAGTCTGAAAATTGGTCCTTGAAATCCACAATTATGACTGTGGATACGAATCAACTTCGTTGTTTTAAGATTTAACTAGGTGCAAAGAATTCCCAACAAAGATTTGTCGGACAATACCTCGAATACTAAACTCCAGTGGTCCATGAAACACTTATTTATGATATGAAATCTCATTTAAAAGAATCTTTTGGAGTGCTTAACACTCAGTTAGTCCTATATGCTTTTGGTTTTAAATTCTTCAAAGGGAACAACAAGAGGATTCTCAATCCTCAAGGCAGCCAGAGTGACAAGTCACCATTTCCCTTAACCAATGTATGATTGCTCACCTTTTCCTTTTCCAAACCCACTGTCTTTTCAAGCCATTTATCCCCCACTTCTTCTCTGTTTTCTCAATTATTATTGTTAAATCACTTTATTTATAAAAAAAGAATCTATCTTCTTTAGTATTATTGTGTACTGCATTACTGCCACCACTACATTTTTGTCTCTTTACAATTAGTGGGTGATTTTACTAAGAGTTTTGAACTAATCCTCATATCTAAACACCTTTTTAAGACAAAACCAAATCACAAATCATTAAATAATCAGTCCCACTAAAACTTACACAAAACTTTGGTGATGGGTTAATTTGGGATCAAAAAGCTTTTTCCTCCACCAAAACCTGTGCTTTTGCATAGCTAAATGGGGAGCACTCTGACACAGACATCTTTTCTTCTTTTCTTTTTTATCTGCTGCCTCCCTTTTGAGAGAGTGTAATGTATGTAAAATCACAGCTGCAATAATGCATAAATGGCTTATAGTTTTTAGAAACAAGTTTTGAATTCTTCAAAGATCAGGAATCTTTCATATTTTTATTGCTAGCAGTGGAACTTAGAAGAAAAATGGGCTTGATCCCTCTCTTGAATGTGATGATTCTTACCTCCCTGGTTTGGCAGACCAGTGGTATGCTATCCAAAGATGGTGTCAATTTTGAAGGTATGTATATACTATACTCTCTCCAGATATTTCTTTCAGGACTAGTAGTTAAGGACCCGTTTGGCATGTTGCTAAAATGGCTGAATTTGTTAAATTTTCTTAGCATGAAGTTCTTCTGTAATGCTCGTTTTAGCCAGTAAGATAGTCAAAAGACAAATATTACTCATTTGGTAAGCTATATTTCGGGCAAATAAGTAAATACTACGTACTTCAAAAGC